CTTTAAGTTTACATTTATTAGAATAATGACCATTTTTTCCACAATTGTAACAAGTAACTTCTTGGGTAGATTTTGACTTATTCTTAAAGTGATTAGTTTGTTTGTAATATTTCTTTTTTGGTTTAGCATAATACTTATCAGGTGATTTGGTAGGTGAATATTTCTTCCTATATTTAGCAGAGTATTTGTGTGAATATCTCTTGTAATTATGTTTGCGTCGTGATGGTGCAACAGGAGGTAAACCATATTATTCGTAGAAATTTCCTAATTCATATTTAGCTTTATGTTTATCTTTAGCAGCTTTTTAACTAAGTTTCAAATCTACACACATTTTTAATCCTTCTTTTTGAATTGTACTAATGATGTCACCATAAGTTAGATTATCATATTCTATAACACTAGTAGGTTGACTAAGAACATCTCTAATCTTATGGGCAAAAAGACTTGGTAATCTATTGATAAATTTCTCTTTCCAAAATGACTTAGTGCAATCCTCTCTAAGCATGACACGAGAGGTAAAGACATCTTTATGCCAACAAAAATACTTAAAGTAGGACAAGTGAGATTACTAAGTTGATCATGGATGTGACAATGGATATTAGTAGGTGTTTCAATAAAATGTTTGACTATAGTAAACATTAAAGTATTAATACCATCAAGTTTACTTGATCTTACATCTTCATCAAAGATTGGAAAATCATTTTCATCTAATTGTTGAGCATGTTGAATACTTTCACGTGTATCATAAGTTAGGTATTTATCCCACTAAGATTTGAGTATACCGGTAAATTTGGAGGTAAGTAGGGAGACTATTTCAGGTTGAGTGTAATCAGGATAATTACTAAGGTAACTATTTGCAACCATGGACATGATTTAATTTTTGTAGAATTTGATTTTCACTAAGACTATCAATATTCCATTCATATAATTTTTTAGTAGAAACAGAAAATTGATTGCTAATATTAGTTTCTTCAAATTGAAGATCCAGGGGTGTAGGTTTAGTATACCAATTTTTGGTGAGAGTAGTAGGATTAACTCTAGGATGTGTGATTCGGTTAAGATTATTGTCTTGGAATTGTTGGGTTATTTGATTGATTTCATTGTTGGATGTATCGGAGTCACTACTGAATTGAACAGGTGGTTGTTGCGTTAAGATCGTAAAGCCTTTTTCATTAGAAGTAGTGGATATTTTAGTAAATAATTGTTCAATGGCTTCAACAGTAGTAGTATCATGGATAATTAGGCTTAACCGTTTCCTATTACTAGGAAGATTAATAAGTGGTTTGTCTAAGGGTTTACTAGTGAAAGTATGACTAGCTGAGTAATAAAAAATAGTTTCAATTTTGTCTAACTGTTTACCAATAGTTTTTAAACATTGATTGGTATAATTATTTTGTTCAATTACTTGTTTGATTTCAGATTCATCACCAAGAAGTTTAAAGGGAGAAGCATGTACTACAACACCCTTATGTTCAATGATGATAGTTTCTAAAGGAGGGTGACTGGAAGAAACAGAAGTATTAGGGGAGGTTTTCCATTTAGTTTTAGTAATAGTATTGACTTTTTGAAAATACTTTTCTAAATAATCAAAGAAGTAGATTTCAGTGTTGATTTCGTTCATAAATTTATATCATTTCTTGGTAATTTTTGATTGTTGGTGTTCATCATAATTGGTTCATAAGTTTGTCGTTTTAACTTATTTGCTTTAGATTTGAATTCATCATGAAGTTTATTATGATTTGGAATAAAAGGTTTACTAAGGGTTAATAATTGTGGATTAATAGGAAAAACAACTTCAAAATCAGTTTGAGTATGTGAATCCTGTGAGGTAGTATCTTATTCAGGAAGATGTGTATGGGTGAAATAAACTGGTTTACTAATTTGAGAAATAGAGAAATGATCGATTCCTTTTAATTTATTATTGGTGGTGTTAGAAGTTTGGCAAATATGAATTTTTCTATCTTGTCTAGTAAATAAAGGTGTAGTGAAAATTTCATCATCTTCAGTATCAATAGGGATACTAAAAGTATTATGGTGAGAAGATTGACTATGTGGTCGATTAAACCTTATATGAACAAAACCATCATTATAGTGTTGAATATTTTGGCTAGTAGAAGATTGTTGATTTTGGGAATAATTTTCATTAATTGTAACCCAATCATTGTGATGGGTGATATCTTTCCAACAAATCATTTTTTGGACTGAAATATTGGTTTCATTAGTACTACCTTGAATGAGTAATGTTTTATCTTTTGGACTTTTGGTTAAAGTTTGAACATTCAGATTTGTTTTAATGCATTTGTGGTAAATTCTGTAAACTAAAGCAATGTTATGGACACTATCTAACATATTAGTAAATGCACCAGATAGTTGAATATTTTGTTGGAAAAAATGGTTTTATATAGGCATATTTTTTAACCCATTTTGGGTGAACCCCAAACGTCTTTTGGGTTGGGTTCGAAGAGGTGATGTGTTCCTTGCCGCGTGGCAAGTCACACGGTGAAGACGGAACGTTAAAACCATTTATGAGTGAATGGAAAGTTAACGTCGTTTTAGGGTCTAAACATTAATTTTTTAGACAAAATTCTTTTGAATTTTTTCAATAAAAATTAGTGTGGAAATTTAATTTAATTTTAAATTCAAATTTTGGATTCCTAGGTGGTTTCTTAAAGTTTGTAATTTTAGAATTTAATTTAATTCTAAATTCGAATTTTGGGTTTCCATCAAAGAAGTAGATTTCAGTGTTGATTTCGTTCATAAATTTATATCATTTCTTGGTAATTTTTGATTGTTGGTGTTCATCATAATTGGTTCATAAGTTTGTCGTTTTAACTTATTTGCTTTAGATTTGAATTCATCATGAAGTTTATTATGATTTGGAATAAAAGGTTTACTAAGGGTTAATAATTGTGGATTAATAGGAGAAACAACTTCAAAATCAGTTTGAGTATGTGAATCCTGTGAGGTAGTATCTTCTTCAGGAAGATGTGTATGGGTGGAATAAACTGGTTTACTAATTTGAGAAATAGAGAAATTATTGATTCCTTTTAATTTATTATTGGTGGTGTTAGAAGTTTGGTAAATATGAATTTTTCTATCTTGTCTAGTAAATAAAGGTGTAGTGAAAATTTCATCATCTTCAGTATCAGCAGGGATACTAAAAGTATTATGGCGAGAAGATTGACTATGTGGTTGATTAAACCTTATATGAACAAAACCATCATTATAATGTTGAATATTTTGGCTAGTAGAAGGTTGTTGATTTTGGGAATAATTTTCATTAATTGTAACCCAATCATTATGACGGGTGATATCTTTCCAACAAATCATTTTTGGGACTGAAATATTGGTTTCATTAGTACTACCTTGAATGAGTAATGCTTTATCTTTTGGACTTTTGGTTAAAGTTTGAACATTCAGATTTGTTTTAATGCATTTGTGGTAAATTCTGTAAACTAAAGCAATGTTATGGACATTATCTAACATATTAGTAAATGCACCAGATAGTTGAATATTTAATGTTAAGGCTTTTAATATATGAGGATCTCTAAGACTTAAAGTAAAATTTGGAAAACAATTAAAGTGGACAGATCCTTTATGGAGGCTTGATTCCATCATACCCATTAGACTATTATGATAATTAATAAATCGAGCATCTCTTAAACATAAGAGGACAGAAGTATTGCGTCCTTGCATAGTTAATGGTTTGATTCCAACTTGAATTAATCATAAATGAATAAAATTATGACCATCTTTTAGATGTTGGCGAATTGACTTTTTGGATAATAACTGGCAAGTTTCTCTGATTCTAGTTAAAGCATAAACTTGTTCAATAATTCTAACATGTAAATTAACATTAAAAGTTGACTTTAAAAAACTTGTTCTATAGATTTCTTTAACTGGTACTTTTGGGATATTCCAACTTAAATAAAGTTTAATATCATGAAATTCATGCTCTTCTTCATTTATGACTAAATTCGTATCAGGTAGAGGAGTTAAAGTTGTAGATCTAGAACTTACTGAAGAGTTATTTTTGAAAAGTCGACTCATTTTTATTCTGTAAATTAATTCAACTTTATTAAATTCTTATATAACTTATTATGTTTTTGCATACTATGTGTTCGCACATACTCTTTCCAGGAACCCAGATATCTATCACTTGCCTGTCCTAAGGACTTACACTAGATGTGGGACGAAAGGTGAGAGTGGAAGACAAAAATAAGTTAGTGGAAAATAAGAAGACTGAAATTAATAAACAGAGATAATAATGATAAGAAACATCAACAATCTTGGCTGTGATACCAAAAAAATAATTGAATATGAATTTTCCAATATTTTCCAATCACAAGTTTTATTATAATATTTTATAATAAAATAATATTTATTTAATTTACTTTTTCACCTAATTTATAGAGATTCAAAATAAAAATCATGAGAAAAATGAGTTTTTTTTTTTTCCTTCTTTTCATTTCACTGTATTTGTCTTTTCTTTACTTATCTAAACGTGTGATATAATATAAACTTCCAAACAATGCATTTATTTTATTTTCACTCCAAATCACTCACTTAATTTATCTTTTTTTTAGTTAATTTAATTTCACTTAATTTATCTTTTTTTTAGTTAATTTAATTTACTTATCTAAACGTGTGATATAATATAAACTTCCAAACAATGCATTTATTTTATTTTCACTCCAAATCACTCACTTAATTTATCTTTTTTTTTAGTTAATTTAATTTGACTAAATTGATTCTGTTTCAAAAGATTTTTTTTATTTTTTTGAAATTTAAATGAGATGATTGTCAAAGAAAAAAATAAAATAATTTTGATTTAATTATGATATATTATCTTATTAAATTATTTAATTTTAACCTCAAGAGTTGTTTTGAAAAGTTAATTAAAAATCAAATTTTAAATTTTTTTTAAGAATATATAAAAAATAATATAATCAAAAGTAAATTATAAGTCAGAAGTAAATTAAAAGTCAGAATCAAATTGTCAAACCGCAGCTGAAAAAAATAAAAAAATGCTTAACAAAAGTCCGCTGTTGTTTCATGTTTCTTAGGTCAGGCTGAGGCGCTTTTCTCTCTTCCCCGCTGTGTGAGCGCAGCAGCGTGCATAACTTGGGAGAGAGAGAGAAAGGATTCGGCAGATTGGTAAACAGATTTTGCTCTCTTTGTTGTCGTTTTGTTTCTTCAATTGTTCCGTCGAAAGTATGCCTATTAAATTGTTTTTTCTCTGTAATAAACCACAAAATTCTTAATCCTGTAATATGTTTTTAGAATTGCTTTTGGAGCATTTGGTTTTTATATAATTTATTTATTTCTTCTTCTTCATTCTTCCATTTTTAATTAATTAATTATTTTTTTGTATATTTAAAGTATAATAAATTCAAGGCTAAAAAGAAAAAAAAAAAAAAAACCTTATACTTTTTTTGGGAGATTTATTATTAATACAAGACCAGAGTAATGAAATTAATTATTTTTTTTGTATATTTAAAGTATAATAAATTCAAGGCTAAAAAGAAAAAAACAAAAAACCCTTATACGATGTGTTTTCATTTATGAGTTGAGACTTGAGAGCGATTTCAGGTTGGGTGTTGTGGATAGATGAATGGGTGAGCCTTGTTAACTTTATTGACGCATGACGATTGCTATACAATACAATGGAATACATCGTGTGCTGTTGCTGCTATTGTTCCCTCAGTTTGATTTTTTCCATATAACTAAGTTGTTGCACTTTTGAATTAAGGTGGCAATATGGCTGGTGAGGAGGCCAAGAATTCCAGTGCTAAAGCAACCAATAGTGAGTATCGATGCTTTATATCAATCTACTACCATACAGTGTTTCTCCACACACACACACACACACACATTATATGAACATACATGGACAAGTATATGGTCCCTATGTGTTATTCTAAAACCTGTTTTTGTTGAAATTATCAGAAGGAAAAAAAAAGGAAGTGAAAAAAGAGACCGGCCTAGGCCTCTCTGCTAAGAAGGATGACAACTTTGGGGAGTGGTATTCTGAGGTATGCTTTGAATGTCTGATCATCTGTGAATATTCTATTGGTTGTGTTATTTCATTATCAGTATTTTATTTTCTCGTATTACCTTATTCAACTTAACTGTCTATTCTTTTACTAATACGAGCTGCTTTGCTGCTAGAAAAGAAACTAGTTCACGTGTTTTCCTTGGAAGAGTAGGTAGATTATGTGGGTGACTACCGAACTAGCTTGTATTCTTTTCTTGGTTTGGGATATATATATATATATATGTTGAATGTGTCAAAATCAGACTTTCTAGTTTTCTATCAAGAACATTATTTCTTTGTAGAATCCACCTGTTGACACTAATTTTTTTTATCGTCCATACTGCTTCGTATTATATGAAATGTCATTCAAAAGTAGAATGTACGGTGACTTCGAGTTGCTTGATGATTGTACATACATATTAAAAATGGTCCATATATTTTAGTATATGAAATGTTTTTATCAATAAAAAAAAGGTATGATGCACATACCATTATTAAAGTGGAATGTACAATTATCACGCTACTGCTATGAAGCACGGGTTCTCCAAAAATGGTGCCGTACTCGTACCGGGTACTTACCGGGTGCTGGTACGCGTACCGGTACGGCTGCACGCGTACCGGATACGGCAAACAGTGTCTCGGTACGTTTGGGAGAACTGGTACGGCTTGGGTACGCCGGGGTACGGCAGAACTCAGCTGTTCCGAACACGGAAGAGAAGAAACAGAGAAGAGAGGAGAGAAGAGAGGAGTACCTGGTTTGAAGCTCTAACGGCTCCGACGACCTGCGATTGACCTCGACAACCTTCGATCAGCTGTTCCGAACACGGAAGAGAAGAAACAGAGATGTACAATCATCAAGCTACTGCAAGTATTTGGAATTCTGAATATGCTGTTGTTGCAGATGGAAAAATATGCCGTGTGATAATGGCTCTAAGTTTTGAACACCTTGTGTAATACCTCTTTTTGTAAAGCCCTCTCTCTTTTTTTGTTTGTGTGTGTGTGTGTAAAACTTTGCATAATCTTTTAATATACTGAATATATAGAAATCTACTAGTTCTAGCTTTTGGATTGTTGTTCTTAGCCTATTGGGTTACATGGCTTCACTTCTTTTGGCTAAGCTTTTCTTTCTAGACTAGTTTGGTGTGTTTCCTCATAGGAAGGAGGTTTTGGCTTGCATTGGCTGTGCCTTTGTGTTCCTTTTGGGGTTGTGTTTTGAGCTTCATTGTACATCCATGCTTTTTGGTAATAAAATTACTTGCAAAAAAAAAAAAAGTTGTAATGAGGAGGGTTTTAAGTACATGTCCGTTCCTAAATATGGAAAGCAAAGTGGATGGAGATAGAGAGTTTGTGGAGTTGAAAAGTGAAATTGCCACAGAGAAAATAACATTAAAATTTTAACATTTGGAGGAACTGAAAGATGCTACCAATATTAAAGGTAATTATGAAAGTGTAATGTTGGGGCTTGATTGCCAGTCTCAATGCTGAGTGTTTGAACAAAAAATTTTTGGACCTCTAATTTTGTGTGGAGCAGATATGAAGATGCTGCTTGTTTAGATTTTTTGGACCTCATTATGTGATGTTTGGTGCTTATCAGATCCTTTAGGGTGTGGTTGGTTCAAGGATTTGGAGAGGGATTTCGAAAGGGATCCAAATCCATGAACCAAACAGAGCCTTAGTGTGCATTGACAAAGCTTGCCGTGGTCGATGGGTATAGATCAAGTTTATATGTTTTTTTGTTTTGTAAGAGTTTTTCTTTTTCATTGTAATGCAAAGTAAGATGGAATGTAGTGTTCCCCACTACTGCTGTAAAATCCTTGTTCTAGATTATAATATACTAGTTAGTTAAAAAAAAGAAGAAGATTATAATATACTATTTTATCTCCGTAAATATTGTGGGAGCTTTTGCTGGTGTAGAAATTTTATTAATGCATAGAAAGAGACACTCATTACCAGTTCTCTACTACAGTTTTATTTTGTTGCTGCAAAAAATAAAATAAATAAACCTTGACAAAATGGATACATTTCTGTGCATGCTGTTCTGTCCTTGGTGTGCATTCAGTAGCACACATCAATCATGCATTTTGTGTCCTAGTCCTCTTCTTGCTAGTTTCTTTTGCACAATGGATTATGGTTAAGAGGGCTCTTAATTTTTTTCTCATCTATATTTTGTCTTTCCAGGTTGTTGTCAGTGGTGAACTAATCGAGTATTATGACATATCTGGTTGCTATATCCTGCGACCATGGACAATGTCTATTTGGGAGATCATGCAAGTAAGTGTTGAACTTTTGGCATTGTCATTTTTTCCCCTCCTGCGCAGGGATACTGAATGTCATGGCCATTCCTGGTTACTACAGATCGATGATTTTTATTTATTTTAGCTGAAATAACTGATGTGAATGTGATTGTTGTAAAGGATACAAGTTACTTATTCTGGTTGGTGGTTTAGGTTTGTGAGATTACACATATGTATTTTTTAGTCCTGTTTGCGTCATCGACGTCGTTGCAAGTGTTGAACTTTTGACGTAGTCGTATAATTTCTTGCCCACCAGCATGGGGATACTTTAATGTCATGGCGATTGCTGGTTTAGCTACTGATTGATGATATATATATTTTTTTTCATTTTTAACTGAGGTAATTGACGTGAATGTAATTGCTGTGAAAGGAGATATGTTGCCTATTCTGGTTTTCGCTTCAATGCGCAGTAGTGAATGTGTTCTCCCGGTGGGGCTATCGTAATTATTCTAGTGCAGATCATATCTCTATGTCTTTCAAAGCACATGAAGACAATCTCTGTTCTTGTGGGGGGCAGGAGTGGAAAGGTGGTGGGGAAGATTACTTGTTCACACTCTGTGGGTTCATTCCAGTTGACATCTATGGATGTCAGGGCCATATGTATTCCATGCCCCCTTATTCATATCTAGCTAGAAGCTACTGATTGTTGTCCCTATCACTTATTAAACATTCCGATGCATTTGTTAAAAGTTTTATCCAGATTGTAAATAACTTATCGATTCAGAGTTTATATGGTTGATTGCTCGAACAATGTCAATGTGCAGGCCTTCTTTGATGCAGAAATTAAGAAGATGAAGATCAAGAACTGCTACTTCCCTCTTTTTGTATCCCCTGGTGTTTTACAAAAGGAAAAGGATCACATAGAGGGTTTTGCTCCTGAGGTGAGATTTCAATTGCTTTTGGCATGGTTGTATTTAACTGAACTTTGAATGTGAATACAAGGGAAAATCTGCTTATTTAAAAGTCATCTGAATATCTCGTCTGAAACTTTTGTTCGTTTGTTTTTCCCTTATAATTTATTTCCCCCCAAAAAATAGCATCAATTAAACAACATTGCAGAGTACATGTATTAACAAAAATAATGGCAGCATTGAGAATGTGTTATTGAGGTAATTCTAGTGTTCTATGAGGCTCTAATAAATGTCTATGCCCAGGGCATACCAACCTGTTTTCTTAAAAAAATAATCAGAAATAAGTTTCAAAGCTGGGTGAGTTGGAGGGCAACAACCAACATGGGCTCACCTGTTGCTGTAAGGACAAGCTTGAACAAATTACAGTATGATTTTATTGTTAGCACTTATTACTTCCTCGATGCGGGTACACAGTGAAAGCAACATTTTGCTGCAAATTCCTGAAAAGTTAACAAACAAACTGCTGTCACATTACTCTTTCTCAGAATAACTAGTTACCCTTAAAATAAATGCTATTTTCTCTCTTTCTTTCTTTCTTAATTTTGGGGGAAGGGAGTTTGAATGAATACCAATCATGCCCTGGTTAACAAGTGGATGAACATTGTCACGCCTTACTGTGCTTCATTAATTTCATGTTGTCATCAAAAAAGTTCCTCAAAGGAATCAAACTCTGCAAACAAGAATGCTAACTGTGGGGTGCTTGGTGGAAGTTTTTTTTCTTAAGGTGTCTATTATTACCCTCCTGAACCTAAATAATTGGCATTTCCAAGACCAAAACAGTTATTCTGACTGGTGTCAGTCCTATATTTGGTTTTGAGGATTAAGGCCCAAATAAATTTAGTGTCTACAACTTGTAAGATATGTTTTTGTAATGGATGTTTTGATGTCTTGTGAAATATTATTGCATTGTGTTCTATTTGTTCCTCTTCTTGTTCTTTTTCCTTTTTGGCTGCACAGGGGGTGGGGTGGTTTGAGTGAGTGTTGTGCGTGTCAGTGTCGGACATAAAACATTACCTTATTAGAAGTGTCAGTGTCAGACATAACATATATGTTGCACATTTTGTCTCTGACAATCTTTTGTAGTTAGGCTGGTAGTTTAATAGTGAACATCAGATTTTGTAGATTTATTCTTCTTTTCTTGCATACTAGTAAGTTCCTCTATATAATGAATCTAAGATGATGAACTTTATCAGGTTGCTTGGGTCACAAAATCAGGACAATCTGATTTGGATGTGCCAATTGCAATTCGTCCTACAAGTGAAACTGTCATGTATCCCTATTATTCTAAGTGGATAAGAGGACACCGCGACTTACCTTTGAAACTTAACCAGTGGTGCAATGTTGTTCGATGGGAGTTCAGCAATCCAACTCCATTTATCAGGTAGATTTTAATGGATCTATTGTTTGATCTTTTATCTTGTTAACTAGATATTTTGGTTTCTCTAGCAGTTGTAAAAGTCTTGCAACTTTAGACTCTGGGAATAACTTTAGGTAAAGAAAGCTCGTTCAATTCTAAATGTGTGGAACTGTGGTTGTTTGAAATCTGGTTATCATGGCTGCAATGCTTTTGAGCATTGCTCAATCATTTTGCATAGGAGCTTTTTTGCCATTGAACTGTTTTTATCATGCTTTTGCACATTTATCAATGTTTTTATCAGAATGACCTTTGCCTATTAATTTGTTTTTTTCTCTTTTAATTTTGACATTTGTTCTATGGTTAATCTCTTGAAGTCCATAATGTTTGTAATACTTCCAATTTCGATTATTGGTAAATTAGTCATACTTTTTGCTTCTGAGGAACACTCCATTTAATCCATTCTTAGGAGTTCGTATATTGATGACAATTTTGTGGGGTTTTGGTACCCATTTTGAAACTCTTTTTTATTGTCAAAAACAGAAAAAACAAAAATGATACAGATAATGTGTTTGGTGGATCTGTTTTTGGAAACTGTTATGTGAAAACATCCAATTTTAAGTAAATATTTTGAAATTATTTATTGGGTTCTCAAGAAGTCAAGTTCACACAAAAAAAAAAAAAAAAAGTTGCAACAAAATCAAGTTGATTGTTTCCAAACTTTTTATCATTTTTATATCTAAGAATACAAAAAATGAGAACCAAAAACAAAACGAAATAATGAAAATGATATCAAGTGGGCCGGCCCTTGTATATAACATTATTGGTTACTACTTGAAGTCTCCTACTGTCTAGAAACTAGTTTTTAGTTATTTTCTGGTTTGCAATAACTCTCCTTGTGTGATTGTAGGAGTCGTGAGTTTCTTTGGCAGGAGGGGCATACAGCATTTGCCACAAAGGAGGAGGCAGATAAAGAGGTATTGAATTTTGAATTTTGGTAAACTAGGGTCTCTAGATTTTATACGTGGAATAGTTGTGTATTTTATATATATTCTTTGACAGTAAAATGGATTTTTTCTTTCTTTCTATCTATTTGTCTGGTCTTCCAGATTTTCAGTCAGGATAAGGACTTACCTTATATTAGTTTATTCAGATTAGGTATTAATGTATTTACATTAGAGATGGCTTCTGTTTTAGTTCATCTCTGGAAAACATTTTCTCTGCTTTCTGATATAACTATTAGCTAATACACTTAATTTAGATCTTGATACTTCTCATCCAATAAGAGTGCTACGTACAGGGGTTACAGATTAGCACGTCTGTCAACGACTTATGCCAACTAGTCCTAACCAGCTTACTGCTTCTTTTGGACAACCAAGGCTACGCGACTTGCGTGACGTCCCACTAACCTATAACATATTTGCTAACCCTTACATGGCACAAATCCAGGAATAATATAAAAAATAATCCTACATTATTTTAATTTAATTACATCATATATGGTCCATGAATAAACTAATCTGTAGGAGGAGGGCGATTAGCCCTTGTGGCTGCGATGATGGCTTCCTGTATTTGATTTTCAGTTAGGGCAATCAATCTATTTATTTCTAATAATTCTTGTTTTGCCCAAGGATCATTAGGCCACAATGCAAGATATGTATTTATGAAATTATTCTTTCGTTCGTTATGAAATGCTAAAATATCATGCAAAAGGATGAGATCATATACAGACATACATAGAGAGATAACTTACTTAAACCAGCAGAGATATTATTACTATGCTTCAAAAGCTTCACACTGATAATGAGAGAGAGAGGGAGTACAGAGTTTTAAACGAGGAAAAATAAAAATTTTTCTAGTGGTGCCTCTTACAAACCAAGGGCTACCTATTTATATTACAAACTGAACAGATAACAAGGACAGGTGGCGTGTGCTGAATGGCTTGCAGTCGATCATCCTTATCCTCTTATCTTTGGCTTTGTCGGCAAAGAATCTACTTTAAGAAAAGTAGATAAAGGGGCTTTATTATGCACCGAAAGTTATTTGGCCACTAGTGATGCTGGAAAGTAGATGGTAGACAGAATAGGACTGGTGGCCCAGACTCATTATTTGTCATTTCGTTTTCCTTTTCCTTTGGCCCGTACCAGTTTGTCGGTAATTAGTTCTGTCACGGAGTCCCAAATATCTCCAAAATCTGGGTCAGATGGATCTTCATTCGGGTCTTGGGATTCGCCTGCAAGGGGTGTGAATGCATTGTCGTCATCTGAATATGGGTCAGGTTGAGTTTTTTCACCTTCACTGGAGGTTGACTTCATACTAGAGTCACGAGGGGCCATGGACTCCAGAAATTGTTGCTTCATGAAATCCATACTTTTAGCCACAAGTTCTTCCTCTGTGATTTCTGGATATTTACGTCGAAGCTCTTGCTGGATTTGGATAAAAGGATTGGCAGGAATGACTGGAGTTGTTTTTGGACAGGCATCTAGGCAGGATTGAGTATGTTCGTTGATTCGCTGGAGCAAGTCTTGCTTATTTTTTGCATCATCATCTGTTTCCACCATTTATAAAAGAAAACTCTTTTTAAACGGGGAACTTTATTCTGGAAATCGCACTGGAAATCCCATTTCCATATCCAAGGAATACTGAAGCGAATAACAAAATGTATTAGACATTTGGACATGGAAATATTTTTATTAACTGGAAGAATACTGAAAATAGCTTGCCATTCATTAAAGGCCAAGCGAACATATTCTGGAAAAGCATCGATCTGTAACCCAAAGGTAATTATCTTACTCATAATCAATGTGCTGAAATCCTTTCTGCTACCAAAACTACTACCACTATTCCTGATAGAACTCCTACAAACCCTAATCCGGACCCAATTGAAACTGAAGAAGAAGATGCTGTTTATACCCTTATTAATACCATTGTTGCTAATTTTGTTGGTAACACTATTGGTATAGCGGATCGAAATAGGGAATTACTGATGAAATTAAGATGTCCTACTTTGTCACATTTTCGTTGGTATAAGGATGTTTTCCTGATGAAAGTTATGCAGAGAACAGATGGAAGTGATGAACATTGGAAAGCCAAATTCATTGATGGCCTTCCTCATCTCTTTGCTGAACGTGTTCGTAAGAGATTACGAGATATACATCACTCTGTTGATATTCCATATTATCAATACACTTACGGTCAGTTAATAAATATTGTAACCAATGAAGGTCTTGCTTTATGTAACGATCTCAAACTTCAGCAACAACTTAAACAACAACATTTAATTGGAAAACGAGAGGTAGGCGATTTTTGTGAACAATTTGCTTATGACCCCCAAATCCAATATCCTTACAAAATTCATAAGCAAAGGAAACATAAGAATCATTCCAAGCCGTACAAAAAATCCAGAAAATTTTCAAAATATTCTAAATCTCAACATCAACCTCAGACATCTAAATCCCGGCCTAAATCCAAAGGAAAATCATTTCAGAAAAATAAATCTAATATTAAATGTTATAAATGCGGACAAACAGGGCACTATGCTAACAAATGTAGAGCTAAAGTTCAGGCAAAATTAAATGAGCTAGCATTAGATGAAGAAATACAGCAAAAAATTCTACAATTAATGTCTGACTCTGATTCATATTCAGATGAACCATCTGACAATGAATTAGCAGCAATTTATTCATCCTCCTCTGATACTGAAAATGAATATCCAGAAAATGAATTTTGTCCTTGTAAAACTTCTGTTAATCAAGTTTCTGATGAGGCCAATTACTGGAAATCAATAGTTGAAATGAATGGTCTAAATATTAACAGTCCCAGTATTAATGTTTTGACTGATTCTGAACAAAATCTTTTAACTATTGCTGACAGTATAAAAGATCCAGAAATCAAATTAAAATTTCTTGAAATGTGTTATAAACAGCACAAGGAAGAAGTTTTAACTCCTACAATTTATAACATGAAAGAAGTTTTTTCCCGTCTTCAAAATCCCTCACCTTCTAAAACAGACAAAATGGTATCTGTCCAGGATCTAAAAATGGAAGTTAATGCTTTAAAAATTGAAATCAAGCATTTACAAACTTCTAACTTAGCAATAAATTCTGAAATTAAAAAGATTAATAAAAAATTACAAGAAAAAGAACAAGATAATCCAGAATATTTGTTATCTCTAACCAGGATAACCTTTCAGAAATGGTATATTTGTATCACATTTATGATTCAACCTGATTTTATTATGCGTGATGCAATTGCTTTGGTTGATAGTGGTGCTGATATGAATTGTATTCAGGAAGGCTTGGTTCCCACTAAATATTTTCAGAAGACCAGTCAATCTCTTACCAGTGCAAGTGGTAACAGTTTATATATTGATTATAAACTTCCTGAAGTTTTAATCTGTAATCAAGGGTTATGTTTGCCAACTTCATTTGTTCTAATTAAAAATATGGCTCAAAATGGAATACTGAAGCGAATGACAAAATGCATTAAACATTTGGACATGGAAATGTTTTTATTAACTGGAAGAATACTGAAAATAGCTTGCCATTCATTAAAGGCCAGGCGAACATATTCTGGAAAAGCATCGAGCTGTAACCCAAAGGTATCCCACCAAATGAGAAACCAGGAGGGGAGATCATTTTTAAGGACATCAGGAAGAACCCGAAAGAACCAAGAGTGAGAACGAGGAGGGTTCATATAATAGAAAGTCTGAGTAAAAGCAGTAATATAATCCCAATAACTGTAACGGACATCTTTAGACCGGATATCAAGACTACGGGTAACATGGGGATGAATACCCCAGGCTTGGATGGGCATGATAGACTGGATGGTAGCTTTACTGTAATTAATTGGACTTGCAGTACGATTAGAATCGGCATAATGATGCTGGAATTGGACAGAAGCTAATTCAGTCAGAATTTGTTCATAAACATATCGGTAAGTATCCAAATGTGGAGGGCTATTTTGGGTGGCAAGATAGCGTTTCTTAACCTCCCATGGATCAGAAACCCATTGGACATCAGCTGTATCAATATAAAGAACAGTTTCTTCGGTAATGGAATTCTGGAAATAAGTTTCTGGAGTTAGGAGGACATCTTTAACCGATTGGCTAGATTCCCCTTTGTTACTGTAAATGCCCAGGAGGGAAGGAAAGTCTGTAGGTGGAGGCGGAAATCCACGTCCACGGCCACGACGGCCTGGGCCTCTACCCCGATTTTGCATGAGAAGTCTGTAGATATTCACGAGTCAGAAAATCAGGGAGAGAATTATGTTCTCCTTTAATATATTCAATATTATAATCAAAAGCAGAAAGGGCAGCCTGCCAAGAAGCAAAAATCTGTTTTTGAGCTAAATTTTCAACATCTTTTTTGAAAACTTGTTTGGCAGCAGAACAATCAACACGAATTAAAAATTCTTGATTTAATAAATCATCCTGGAATTTTAAGACACATTTAACAATTGCTAAACATTCTTTTTTAATGGTTGGATATCTTTTAGCAGCGTCATGCCAAATACCAGAATGAAAACGGAGAAGTTCTTCTTTACTGGTTTTGGGATTTAGTTGTTTTAAGATACCACCAAAACCTAAATCAGAAGCATCAGTTTCTACAATTTTTTGGTAATCAGGAGAAGGAAGACATAAACAAGGTAATGTCTTAACACGAGCCTTTATTTTTTTGACAGCAGCTGTATGCTTAGGACTCCAAACAGGTGGATTTTTACGAAGACGAGTATAAAGAATTGCAGCGTCAGTAGCAAGATTAGGATAATAATCATGAATATAATTAAGACTTCCTAAAAATCGCTGTAATTGAGTTTTGTCTTTTATTTCATCTGGAAATTTGGATGCAAATTCCATGCTGCGATCAATAGGAATAATAGTACCATTATGGATATTATGTCCTAAAAATCTAATTTGAGTTTGAAAAAGTTTCATTTTTGGAGCAGAAACAACAAGCCCATTTCTGGAAATAATATG